GCTGGAAAATTTGACAGTCAATTTGCTGATGCGGGTTTGCTGCTTATGATACTCAGTACCGCTTTCTGGCCAAACGCTGCAACGAAAACCATGCCAGTCGGTCGGGTGGGCACGAACACGTTCTGAATAATTGCCGAAATAGAAATCAGCATTGCGCAAAAAAATCGATATATACTTCCCTTTGCTCCTATATGCGTAGGGAGCCACTTAAGCTGTCGCCGACTCCATATGTGAATTTGTGCAGCGCATAGATGGGGCCGGCATAGTTTTATTGGCTAGAACAAAACCAGTGATGGTTCACATGGTGCTTCTCATGTGTCTACGCGAAATTATATAGAAATGTAGATGCATATGCAAGAAGCCTGCTTAAATTTGAGAAATGTGCCATCATCCGGGGTTCAGCATCGTGGCACTGCGTCTACATTTTTAAAGCCTGTTTGACTTATGGATAACAATATTTTTAGAGTTTTGTTAGCATATCCTCGATATTTGAAATCGCTTTTCGATGTTGTTGCTGGAAAAGCTGATAAGGAATACTGGCTCTTGTAACATTATTAGAGACGAGCAGATCGTGACTGTTGCTTAGTCCTGTACAAGCGGTTCGAGACCAATTGATGCGTTAGAGATGCTAAAATTTCATGAAGTTGTCGATTATTTAAACGCATGGAATATTCTGGTCATCTTGTAACAAAGGACTGATCCAGTAATACCCTTTAATCTGGTTCTATTGAACTGTGCTTGCGAGAGGAGTTTAAATATAATGCTCGTTCTGTTTTTTTTGAAAACATGGTTTAACTAGAAACAGAAAGCGAAAATCATGTCAGCCAAACGAAGTCAAATGATATCGATGCTGTTGCCTTCTCTTTAGAATTTTTGTCGCCAGTGCTAGATTAAGCACCGTATATTATACGATAAGCTGTTGTCGGCATTTAGTGTTGCTCCTGGAGAAATCATACAATTCATTGTCTGTAAACTGAATTTTAGCTGTCGATAGGATTTGTTGTAGTGCATGAAGGCAAAACTGATGCTGCTTTTTAGCTCATTGCTGCTTGTGTTGCCTGTTCTTATCCATTGTCGTTATTTCAGGCTGAAGAACGAATACAGAAAAAACGACAAGCCAGAGCAGAAGCTCGTTCAGTGCGGCTCCGGGAGCTGGAAAAACAGCAGCGTGAAGTAAGACCGGAATACAAAAGTTGAACGCTCTCGAATGCCTTTCATTAAAAGCAGAGGTCTGTTACATTTGAGCTGCTGTATTGGTCAATTTGTTGAGCTGAGAAGGACCCCATATTTGGTTGCACGTTCATTCAAATACTATTCGATGTTTCTCAGAAGATGTGGAAGCTAAGATAATGAGGTTTATCCTGCTAGTCAAACAGGAGGCCAGCAAACAACAGGGATGAACTACGTAAAGGTAAATATACTTTCATAATGGAGTTGTTCCTTCTGCGATGCAGTAACTGTTGCCTTATAGCGAAAGTATCAAAAAGCTGCGATTACTTCGGCCGTCACAAATCAGGGATATTCTGCTTACGATCACGCGCTGAAGGTGATGACTACACGAACGCGCAAAAACAACAAGCTGTATGTCCCGTCTGTAGTTCTGGTAGACAGCACGAAGGAAACGACGATGCACTGACTTCCAGGGTTCAGTAGGATAGCGCTAGGACTCATTAGCCTGATTTTTCTGCACTGAGGGCTAGAACATTCTGCATAACCGTTCTGCTAGAATAATTTGGTATTCTTCCTCTTCATCCAGATTACCATTTTTCTCCATGGAGATGAGACGTTCCTGACTGTTTTTGTGAGGTTCATCGACGGTTTCATTTCCCGACTGGACGCTGTGGCGATCACTAGAACAGCTCTTTATTTTCTTGTGGTAGGCCGACACTGCATCTTCATTTTAATCTGTTACCATCGCTAAACTACCGTTTCACCTGAGGGACAACTTGTTTGCAACAAATTTTAGACGAAGTTCATCTGCAACTATATGGTGATTATACGCTGTGTAGTACGTAGATTTGTCGCGATTCTGGAGTAACAGGGTGTGTCATTTGCGACTGGTGAAAACGTGGTCCAGTTTGGTTTGCAGGATTTTATCGTGGGACGTCTATGTAGTATGGTGAAATGGCATATATGGAAATAGGTTCGCGTTGACGATTCAGCCATCTAGGCCATTAAACATTACGGTCTGTGGCGCAGAAGGTTATTGTTTGCTGTGCATTTTACCGTTGCAAAGGTACCGGGTTCCAGTTCCCTGGCGGGGTAAAATTTTTCTTATTGACCTTCATTTCCCTTGAGGAAAGAATTCGTCCAACTGTGCTTCGGTACAACCAGCCAAGAAACGGGTAGTAAGTCGTTGAATTGGGAAAACAGGAATAGCATGATGTTCTGGCGTGGTCGTACCAACACATGCGAAACAAATGCTGATGCTGTCTGATCCGTACGCCTTACGACACATTTCGCCTTGACCTCGCCGATCGATGACAAGGTGAGAATTGTAAATATCAAAGAATTTCTAGTTTGTCATTCTCATTCACGGTATTAATTCCATGACTACCGACTACACCTGGTCGTGCTCTGTATTCAGTACCAACCTTCGAGTTAAGGGTTTTTGTGACAGTTATGACATCATGCCACAACAAAACGCCGGTACCTAATTGCAAGCAGCCCTAGAAGATATTTTTGTCACTGTCACTTGGCACTTTTGTCAGAGAGTCGACGACTGTAGCATTTGGCTTATTCTGCTTCACATTGCAGTGAAATACGATTATTCTCTCCGATACGTTTTAATGATCAGTAAGTCCGTGTTTTTATGTTCTCAGACACGAAGATACCCACGTACCCAATGCGACAATATACATTCTGTTGTGGCCCGGACACCGAAATGACTTTCTTCTTTCGTCCCGTAAGTCATATATTTTCCTCCCAGTATATGAGATTCATTGGCCATCAGTACATCGTAGAATCACCTGACTTAGCTTTGCCAGTTAAGTGACGGAGATCCCAACATACGGCGCTTTATTTTCCTCTTGTAATGTTGAGCGCTGGCACCGCGGATTTCTTGGTTGTTTGTCATGTGGTACGTTGTAGATATGAGCCGCTCGTTGCGTGATTTATTTTCGTGACAATAATACGGTTGCAACCAGCTAAGAAGGTAAAATGAGAACTCTTTGTGCTAGCTTTATTAGGAAGTTGGTAACCGGAAATCGTTCGTCATCGATACATTCTACGTTTTAGGCCGATGAAGCCGAACTCAGATACGAACTAACGAATGAATCTAGTCGAGTAAGCGTGCTTTGAAGACGTTAATTTAAGACCATGACGGACTAACCAAATGCTTTTTTGTCCTTTTAGACGAGGTTCGGTCGCACTTCTTCAGGAACTGCACATAACGGGTTTGCAAAGAAGTTGGACGAAGAATTTGCAGCCGACGACCCAAAGGTAGATAGTGCTTGCTTCAAATTCGTCGCTGATCGCATTTCAGACGGGTGTCGATTTTTGATTATAGGCATTGGTGGAGAAACTGAACAGGACACTGTGTCTTTATTCGCAAGTGGACAACGAGAAATCGGTTTTGCTGTTCGAAGTTGATCTGTTAAGAGATGAATTTGAAGAACTGCAAGAAAACCATGCACAGCTGCGTCGAGAGTACACCGACATGCAAAATGTAAATGAAGACAGTTCAGCAAGTGACGCTGCTTAATTTTTAAAAAGATGTTAAACGCATTTAACGGTTCAATGCAGTATGTTATGGATTACAAGAAAAACGAATCGGGAAAAAATAGGAGCCGTATGTAATGTGCATATTCGTTTCTCTATGTAAGTTGTAGCAGTTGCCGAGCGGATCAGATGCGGTGAGGGATCGTCCCGTCAGCCGTTTGAAGACTGGTCTTCATTTAAGGGTGAGTCGCACCGTTGCCTGCTCGTGCGGCTTTATTTTACTGGTTATGTTACAAAGACGTGACACAACATACAGAAGTCATCCTAAAATTCTTTGCGACTAGTAATGGTCAACGACGGACTGGTTCTTTGTTAAATGTTTTTCGACCGCTGAAGCCAGTTCGCGTTTACTACCAGCGCGTATCCCACCTACATGTTAACTGCTGGCGCTCTTATCGTCGGTCCACGTTGACATAACTTTTAGCAAAGTCTGCACATCCTGCTATGTAAAGGTTGTCGTAAGCGTTGTCGTCACAGCATTCGCAAATTAGTTCAACCGTTTCTGTTCCTTTTATTTTGTAGTCAAAGTGTTATTTTGAGTGATAGATCTGCTGTAAAAGTATGGGATCCCTCAATACTGTCTGCCTTTATTTGGTTGGCCGATTGTTTTACGATTTAGGATAGACATTGGAACGACAGCAGTAGAAGTTGGAAAGAATCGACTCCACCGTACTTCGCTTTCCCATGCGAGGCAAATTATACAAGGTGTATCTGTGCATTGCCGCTTCTAGTGTGCATTGAAGCCATGATCTGCTTAAATGGTCTCACTGACATCAAGCGATGGATCGACAGTGTTGTGAAATTCGGCTTGTTTTAGGTTGTGCGCTTACAAGGAAAGACTGTTGTTGTCACGCGTAGATTAACAGGCTTCAGCCTATTTTTCAGGAAGATCTTGATGTGTGTAGAAGAGACTTCAAAAGCACTGCAGTAAAAGATAACCATTGTCGAATAGAAATGCTCATTTAGCATGTGTCGAGATGAGTGAATTATGAAGCTCCTGTTTCTTCAGTGTGTTGAAGCAACGTAGCGAAGCGATTATGAGTCAGCAGATTTAAGAGACGTAAATAAAGATTAGAATTTGGATGGATGTAGCACATGATTGTGCAATGCAAGACGTCATATGAAGTACACGTTCGGAATTTAATTATTAGTCGCAGAGGCTCATAAAGCCCTCTCCAAGGAAATTACGAGTTCCTTTTAAGAAACGTTGTTGCAATGACCAAGTAGTTCTAGGGAAGTTTGAAATCAGTTTGAAATCTTGTTGTATCGTAGTAGCGCGTGTTGATAGGATAGAATCTCTTCTTTGACTAGTAATAATATTATATTGGATTCCGAGGCGCTGTAACCACAGTGTAAGAAACGAGGCTTTCCTTGTTTTGATGCGTTAAATAAAGATATGTTCATATCTGTAAAAAGATGGAAATAATCACTGAGGTAATGTTTCACCGCTCTCTTT